CCCTCTCTCCCTCTCTCTCTCTCTCTCTCTCTCTCTCTCTCTCTCTCTCTCTCTCTCTTCCCCCTCCTTCCCCCGCCCCGCGCGCCCGTCTGTTTGATTTTTTTTTTGCTCGTTTTTTGTGGGCTACCGGTCGCACCCCGGTGGGTACCCCGCCCGACGCGGCGCGTATACGTCTGCGTTGTTTTTCTCAAGCAGGGTGAGGTACTGGTGGTTTAAGCTGTCTTCTCCTCATCGGGGGACAGCTGTATTTTTTCTCTCAATGTTTTTGCACTGCAGATCATCGAGGCACTCCTCAGACCATCATCTACTCCCACTTTGTGAATTTCAAGATCTCCCACTTGTGAAGGAGAGAGATCTCCTGGCTGGTCCTCTGTGAGCTTTGTCCACCAACTGAGTTCAGTCATTAGCATTTCCCGCTTTACCTCCTGCGAGTCTACCAAGAAATACGGGTGCTGGTTAACCATATGCGGTACAAAGGACATCATAGCATAACTGTGCTCATGGCCTGTGCAGCACAACAGGGGGACTGCCACGGAGTGATGTCCTGGCAAACTGCGCACGAATGCCAGTGGGCATGAAATGTGAAGCAATGACCGCAAAAAGAGACCACTAGAGGTATAGCAAACACAACATTCATCCTTACAAAAAGGGGGAGCATGAAAAAGAACAATCCCCTTTGAACCACCGGTACCTCCCGAAGGTGTGCCAGTTGACAACACGATTGCCGTTTCATGGGATGTACAGGCCAGCCTGAACCAAATTAAATATACTCATGATCAACCATCGTCCCTCAACACTGCGTAGCTGGGGGAAGGTAACGGTGGGTTTAATAGAGCCATCCTTCTGTTCTCTTCTAAACATCTAAGGCCCGTCCAGTCCAGAATGTGCAGCTTAACGCCGATCACCAGGAAGCACCGCAATGAACAATCACTAAAGGGGAGCAGTGATTGCGCATGGTAATGATCTGATCTGAAAAGATCTCCCAAAAGATGCACAACTCCATGGCATAATAAAGCAATGTGACTTTATTCGCTGCAGCAAAAGGTAGAAACGACACAGAGTACACAGTTATCGTCCTCAGTTCTCCCATCCTTTCCCCGCGTCCACCTCCGAAGTGGTTAACCAGAACACTGCCATGTCCAAAAAGAGTTGATCTCTGCTTACCAGCAGTTGCTTGTGACAAAATCATTTTATCAAGAAGCCCCAAACGAGACATAAACAACAGAAGACGAGCATTAACCCCGATCCCGAGGATGGGGAAAAAAATCCAGAATGGAACCTGTGCTGCTGATGCTGACAATCCTCATCATCATGCTCACGATGATAATCTCAACAACAAATGTTATCAGAATCACACCATCTACTTACATTTGAGAAATGACAAATGTCATCAGAATTTAGAATCTCCATCCAGTTAAATTTGATCTTTTTTTTTGGTGCAAAATTGAAATCTGGTTTCAACTTTCAAGGGGTATTTGTGTGGCGAGGGAACTAGGCTGTTTTTCCCGGCGCCTGGGCACCCACTTATGCCCGGGTACACGCCTGGGTGCACGGCCAGCCATGACCCCCGGGCAGCGTTCCAGGTTCCGGGTAGCCCCAGCAGCAAAACAAAAAAAAAATAAAAAAAATTCCCCAAGAAAAAAGGTTGTGTAGAATTGCAATACAAACAACTTTTGGCTGAGGGTCACATTAAAATTCCTCACAGAATCGGAGATAAAAAAGAACATAACAGAATCACACTAAGGCACCCTCCTTTAAACCCCTGTAGCCCCTTTCAATTTTCAAACCAATTTATACCCCCCTGACAGCCAACTCGCAGAAAAAGAAACGAGCCCGTATTTGGGGTCCTCTGGGAGAGCGCAGAGAACCAAATATATATACATTGTTTGCGTGCCTGGGTACCCTGGGCGTCAGACCCCCCCACGCCCAGGTGCCCAGCCGGCCGGGCATGAGAATCTTCCTAGAGTGGGAATATCATCTGCTGGAAACTCCGCTCTCCCTCCGGGATGGGGGTGAGAGGTATAGCGCGGCAGAAAAAGAGAAAAACAGAGAGAGAGAGAGAGAGAGAGAGAGAGAGAGAGAGAGAGAGAGAGAGAGAGAGAGAGAGAGAGAGAGAGAGAGAGAGAGAGAGAGAGAGAGAGAGAGAGTGACAGAGAGAAACAAAGGCGTACAGAGAGAAAAAGAGAGCGAAGTGCATTCAGTACAGAAACTACAGACCCATAGAATGAGCCCAGCAGAACGAAACAAACAGATGGAAAAGACACAACAAGCACGAATGTCAGAAAGTCAGTTGGCATTCCTGTAATCACTACCGTATTCAGGCAAGAAAGCTCTAGTGTGAGTAGGCTCTAAACTGACTAGTAACGAAAGGACCCATGCTCGGGGGTCAGTGGAATATTGGAAATATATCAAAGCTTTGGCACACAAGACCGAAGAGACTCTAGAGAGAGGAATACCGATCAGAGAGAAACGACCAAGAGCGCCCCAATAACAATCCAGGCTGTACGCATGACATACCGTTGTGAAATATTCCGTAGACTATCATCCGTGATATGGCTGTACAGATCAAAATTACCCCTAACTAATAACAACTGAAATGATATGGCTGTCCAGATTAAAACTGCTGGCTGCTCATGAAGAGTATTTTCACAAAGCTGACCATTTCATCAGCACTCCTCTGGTTGTTGAATGGACATCGAGGGTTCCCTCAGACAGGCGGAAAGACACAAGCCAAATCATCTTTGAAGTTTACCTTTCTCACGTAAGAGGCCGACGGATTTTTATCACAAACCGCATTCTTCGGGGGTTCAGCCTCCCAGACCTCTTTGGCTGGCAGCACCAGCCAAACAAAAAAACGAAATAACAAGCACCGCACCATTTTGTTCAGAACTTGGCGCACATCCAGCGCAGGAAAAAAGAGGCTCAGAGGCAGCGGTGGTTAGTTCCCAAAAAACAAAAGAAAAAAAAGTGCTCATTGACTATCCATTACCGAAACAAAAAGAAAAAGAAGTGGAGATATTCAAAGAAAAGAAAGGAAGCAAGTTTGACTGATCTATACACACTAACACCACCTCTCCGCCTGTCCGAGGCAACAGGGGAAAAAAAAAAAAAAAAACTGAAACGAAGCTCAGAAAGTCACAGAAACCTAAACAAATGAGGAATCGTCACGCGTGCCAAGAATGAAATGAACAACATTATAGACGGATGACACACTCTCGGGGCACAATTCATTACCACCCCAAAATGAAGGACACAACATTATAGACGGATGACACACTCTCGGTCACAATTCATTACCACCCCAGCAATAGCAGCTTAAGTAAGGCCATTCGTATATGCAACCCATTTCTAGCTTGACGAAAATAAGCAGCTCGTGGATCTGTATCAACCTCCTCTGTGATCTGTAGTATTGTATGAAGCAAACGAACAAGCAGACGAGCACAGCGAAGCGATGATAAACCATCAGCAAGACTGCCCAATTTCACAACAACAGGGTCAACGTAGATTGACTGAGAGTGAGTGGGGGAGGAGGGGACAAGCATCTGTACAACCCTGAACAAGCAGATTCGAGACCACCAATATCATCAGACCTAGCATGCTGCTAAGCTTTCTGGCAGGCACCTCCAAAATATTTGCTCCCCGAGTTGGAAGCACTGATTAGACACACAGCTAAGATTGGAGATGAAGAAGCTGTGATATGCATTGCACTATAGAAGGGGCACCTCCATCTCTGGAGGTTTAACAACTGCCACGACCTCCGAGCCACTTTTTGCCGAGATGGATTCCCCCTGCACGCAAAGCTTTGCCAAACCATCCACCCGACATTTTTCTTTT